CTTGCAATATTTACCAAGGAGTTTATCACACACGGACCGATGTGCTTCCATCCTGAAAATGATTAAAGCATCTGCATACCAGAAAAGCACGCAAATGTGCAAATGATTTTCACATGCAGAGCACAATAACATGTTAAAAGCTCATTACTAATGCAAGAAAGTGGGTAGAAAGCACATTTGTTTTCCACACAGATGTGGACAAATCCTATTGATGATTTGGAAATAACTTTTTTGCACGTGTGCACAGAGGAAGTAGTTGTGTCACCAGAAATCACCCAGAGAAATAAACAAATGTATTTATACAATCTTCTTTATAAAAATGTACTTTACTGTCCCTTACTTTCCAAGAAATAGTATCCAACCTAAGTAAAAAGAACAAAACATTACCCAAAAGTAGGAAAGCTAGAAAAAAATTCTCTCTCACTCATTGCGTTCCTGCATTTCCCTCAGCAGCTGTTCCTTTATGAGCCCTGGCTAATGGGGAAGGCTGGAGGAGGAGAGACATTCACACACAGAGAGAAGTGAGATGGAGAAGCAAGCCTTCTCTCTCTCTCTTTCTCTGTCCCTGCCTTTGCCTCAGCAGCTGTTCATTTAAGGGTCCTGGCCGAAACATAAAAGGCTGTGTCCTTCTTGGCACAACAAAGCAGCACTGGAAGTAAACTCACCCCAAAAAACCATGGGAAATCTGGCAACGGGTACAAAAATTGGGAGAATCCCACTAATAGCTTTCACACTATAGCAATTGTGCAAAAAAAGCCATATCATGAATGAAATGGAAATGAATTCACAGTATTTTCTCAAAAATGCCTATTTGCTGGTACATGTCACTTTCTTGTCGGATTCTATGTGGTTTACATGCAACATCGTGTGAAAAGCATTTGTGCCTAATATGCTGTATAATCATGGGTTCTTACCAGTTTAAATTTCCAATTTTCCCTGTGTGCTAAACTCCTGAATGAATTTTGTAGCCTCTTTCAAGACTGCACTCTTCTCAAAATGGCTAGGAAGCCATGCTGGATCACTCAGTAACCCCTTTTAATGTTGGTGGGATGACAGCATTCATTCATAAAGATAAGCTTCGTGTAGATCTTGGCTATGAAGTGACTGCCTGCCTGCCTATCACACTGCAATAAAAAAGATGTTGGGTAAATTTCCCTTCATCTTTCATTACATCCGGGACCAGACTATATGCTACATGTACACTTTATTTTTTCCTAAAATGCTAAACAAGCCTGAAATCAGGCTTTTGGGTCACAGCTTTGATTCAACAGGCCCACTTTAGTTGAACTAACAATTGGACCTATGCTTCTACAATCACTTCTGCCTTTGCACTAAAATTGCAGGACTAAAATTGTTGCAGGACTAAAATGCCCCTTCCTATAGTATGAATCATGTCCAGAAAAACTGCCCTAAGTAGTGCCATGTTTCATAAACTATATTAAATTAATGCATTTTACACTGAGTGTACCTTACATTCTTCTATGATTCAGGCATTCAACACATTTCCTTGATTAGAAAATTAGCTACAATGCCAAGAGTGCAATAAAAGCAAGGCAGGCAGGGAGAAAAAGTGCTGACTCCACTGTAATGTCAGCTCCTTTGGACAGCTCTGAGCCTTTTACTAAAAACAGCAAACCATACTAATAAAATATAAAAATAATTCAAACTGATTTGCTCTTTTCATATGAAATGGCGAAGAGAGGCAGATTCTTGGCAGATGGATGTATCATGCAAACGAGCCTGTAAAGTTTATACAACTCAGTTACCTGCAGCTGTAAAATTCACTATTTTCTTTTAGCTGTTTTTTATTTTAATTTAATTCTTGCTTTATTATATTTCAAAGGCTAACCTTAACAAATAAAAAACATAAGATTGCAATAAAAAGAAATACACAACAAACATACAAATACACAAAAACACAAAAAGAAAAAGAACATAACAAATAATACAATTTTTTAAAACTAACAAACAACACATAAAGGAAATTATATACACCAGACATCTAGCACTCTCTACATTCTACTAACTCATGCCTTCCTTCTTCTTCTTTCTTCTTTATATGTTCCTATTCATCTTATCACCCATGTTTTAATTTGCAGTACAACCTTCTTTATCCACACTTTCAATCATACATCTTGACTTCCTACTTTGCCTTCCTTTGACTATCAACACATATTTATTAGCCTCCAAATACCCACTGAGTGTTAGTACTCTGGACCTTTTTTGAATCAACCTTATCTTGATAGTCGTTCTGTCATATCCACGAAATTTCAATTAGACTCCTCTTCAGTCTCTATCCCTCTCTTTTCCAACTGGTCAGTTATAGCTGTACATGGATTTATATTAATCTAATATCTTATGTTATTTTAGCAGCCGTTATACTAACACACACACACACACACACACACACACACACACATTAGTCCTTTAACCCTAAAACTGCCAAAGGGCCCAATATTTTCTTTAAATAATCTATTAATAATTTTAAATCTAATTCACTCTTATTACGTAATTCATTTTTCAATCTGTTAGTAAGCTTATCCAATTCTATCACTTCATACAATTTATTAAGCCAATCATCTTCATTTGGGTTAATTTTATTCCATTTCTGAGCAAACACTATTCTTGATGAGGTTACCAGATAAAACAGTAATTCGCAGAAAAAAAAATTCTAGTTCATCCTCAAAAATTCCTAATAAACATCCTTTTGGCAACCTGTGAATGGTCCTCTCCAGGATCTCACAAATTGCTTCATTGACCATAATCCAATATTTTTTCATTTCCCGGCAGATCCACCAACAGTGGTAAAATGTCTCTACAGTTTCCCCACATTTCCAACAACTATTGTCTGTTTTTAAAATAAATTTTAGATATTAATTCAGGTGTCATGTACCATCTGTAGTACATTCGCTTTTAGCAGTTAAATGGCATCTACAGTGTTCATAAAATTTGTTTGTTTGTTTAATGTACATCTTGCCCTTCTCCTAGCACACAAATCAAGCCAGTTTGCAACAAATTAAAACAAAGTATACCTATGAGACTTATTAATAGAAAAGTCAAAACACAATTAAATAAGCAAAAGTGACAAAAGCTCAGCACACCCCATTAAATTAAATTACTTTTCAGCCACATGAACTCAGAGCCAAAGAACTGCTGTAAAAACAAAACAAAACAAAACAAAACACCCCCCC